TATATGTATATATACATATATATATAAATATATAAATATATATATATATATATTATATATTATATATATATTATATATTATATATATAATTATAATAACAATAAAATGCATACTATAAAAAGCTGTATTGATTTGGGGTGTATAGGCACCTCAATTGGTGTGCGGCTTTAATTTGCGTTTGGGTGTAAACAATGAATTAATTATCTGAAATAAAGTAAAAAAATAAAATAACATAAATAAAATAAATAAAATAAATAAAATAAATAAATAAATTTATTTATTTCAGTTTTTAAACAAATTAAAAAACACAAAAAGTTTTTTTTTTTTCTTTTTTTGCTGCGGTGTGCAGCGGTGCACCTCGCCCAGCTGCAGTTGCTGCTGCCGATATTTCGTCTTTTTTTGTTTAATTATAAATTTTAAAATTTAAAATAATTAAAATAATTAAATTATTTAATTTTTATTTATTTATTTTGCTTTTTATCGTATATTTACACCTGCAGTTGCTGCTCTGCCTATCCCCCCCAGGGAGCAGCAGCAGCAGCAGCAGCAGCAGCAGCAGCAGCAACAGCAGCAGCTGTTTCTGTTCTTTGAAACACAGAAATATATTCAGTGAATTATATTTAATTAAAAATAAATTTATTTAATTTAATTATTTAATTTTATTTCTAATTATTTAAACTCATCAGCACGTATCAGCAACCAGGAGACAGCTTAGTGGTCTATGCACACAAACCCTAAACCCTAAACCCTAAACCCTAAACCCTCGACAGGAGACTCAGTTGACGAGGTGCAGCAACATCTAGCAGTTGTAGAGAGAGACAAGCGGGGCCCCTTTGAGGTGTACATACACCCCCGCTAGCGTGTGCTGGTGTTTCTAGGGTTTAGGGTTTAGTGTTTAGGGTTTAGAGGAAAATAAGCTGCTGCTTGATCTGCAGCAGCAGCAGCAACAACAGCGACAGCTGCAACAGCAGCAAACCAAGAAAACAGCAGCAGCAGCAGCAGCAGCAGCAGCTGCTGCTACTGCTGCTGCTGCAGGCATTCGTGCGCTCCCCCTATCTCCTCTTTCTCTCTTTTATATCTTTCTTAATCTTCTTTCCTTCTGCTGCTGCTGCTGCTGCTGCTGCTGCTGCTTCAGCTGCTGCTGCTGCTGCTTTTGCTGCAGAAGGGGCAGCAT